AAATATGGGATTGTTTTACACCAAATTTTTGCCAAAACTTGGTTAACACTATGCCCCAAATAATTTCAGCCGTAATAAAAAATCAAGGTGATGTTACCTAATGGTAATCTTTCAATTGTTGCTTTGTTAACTTCGCGCATTTATTCGCACATTGTTTATTTGTTCAGATGTTTTATTAGTTATAGGTCTAAGTGATTTCAAATATGTATTTTTTACGACTAGAGTGTATCTAAAATGTTTATGAGAAAATAAATTGTTTTAGAAGTAAATAGTTTCATGTTTAGTTTATAAAGGCATATTTTGGTACAAACCTTGAAGTGGGCCAACTGAAGTGGGAAGGGGCTCATATAGACAAAATTATGTTACCAAACTGTCTTAGACTAGTTAGTATGTAGCATGTGCTAAATGGCTGCATGACTTTGTCAAATAAGTAGGTCACGTAATATTCTTTATAAAGCAATATAATTCCTTAGACCTTTTTTCTAAAAGTATTAATATAGTATACGTCTGTTTTCCAAATCTCGTACGATTAAAATGGCTGCGAGTTCAAAATATTGGAAAATAAATTCGAGAAAACTAAAAAACAGTAGACAAATATCAACCAATTGAAGCGAACTAACCGTCTTCAAAATTAGGCAAAATGCTCGCTTTAGTCCCTAATTCATTATTTAAAGTTTAAGCATTGTATCTTGTATAGTTTTCAAGACTATTCTAGTTGTTTATAATAGATTTCATATGTCTACAACGTTCGCTTGACATTTGTCAGTGTCAAGTGTAGTGGTATAAAGATCCAGTAAACCAAGAGGCGTCGTAGCGTTATGGGAAAGAACGGCGATTGCTGAACCGCAGGACGTAGGTTTAAATCCACAAAGCTCTTTTTTTGCTATAATTTTTTGTTTAATTTGGAGAAATAAATGCTTTTTCACATTGTGTGTACTTTTATTGCAAACAGTTTTTCGCATACCATAGAGAATGTAAGCCTGCAAACAGGAAGCCAGGGGTATACGTATTATTGTTTATAATTTTTTTTATTACTTTGATGAAATTTCAGAAACACTATGTCGGATCATACCAGATAATTTTTGAAAACAAATAACTTAGATGTGTATATTATTAATCAACAATGATGAAAGAGATCCGAAATTTTGTTTGTTATAATAAGCTTGTTTAATGCACAAGTTAATTACATCAAGTTAGTGGTTAAACACATCACAATACGAACAAATAAGCAGCATTATGGTTGCTATGGTTAATAAATACAAAATGTCAATGAATCCTTCATATAGTTTAATTCTATGCATAATAATACAAATTTTAGACGCAACAAAAATTATGTCACTCTAAGAAATTGAAATTGCTTAATTTCCGATTTTTTGTATATTTAACTTTCACGTTGTGTTAGGGCTTCCTCTTTCCCATAACTCCCTGAAAGAGAGATTACCTCTGCGTTATGCTGCCATAATACAAAAATACAAACTATGCAAAAAATGTCTACGCTGTTGATGAAATGAGCATCTACGCTTAACAGTAACTTGATAAATACAAAAACTGTGGGTTAGCTCGCTTCATTTTATAAGCATCCTGGGCATCATTTGAAGGCGTACCGAAAACTTAGCGGATTCTATTCGTCATTTTCCTTTAGAGCGGTCCGTGAGACCTTCGCTCTTTGTTCAAGTATCGTAGGTCAGTAGGTCTGGTTGCCCAGATACCAGACGAAGTCAGGGAGAAAGAAAGGAAGGAAGGGGGAAGAGCAAAGAGGGTGAAGTGCACCTGTTAAAGGGATGCCTTGCTATTGTTAACTGGTATTCGGTTATAATAAATTAATCCAAAAATTATTTTAGTAATTTGTGTGCCAAAAAATCGTAATTTTGGTTGGACCTAGAATTGCACGATTTAATTTTGATCACAGTGCGAGCCGTGGTCTTGTGTACTTGCGAACTTGCTCGACTGTGTAGTCTACTGACTCACGCAACAGAGGATTGCTGTGCGATTCCGCTTGACTATAACGTAACTGCGCCTGATGTTTGATGTAGTCCCTTAGGTAAGGGATGTTGAGGTCTCTGTGAAGGGTCTCGTTGGAGACATACCACGGTGTGTTAGTGACGGTTCGCAAGGTTCTGTTCTGCAAAACCTGCAGATTGCGCATATGCGTTTTGGCAAGAAAACACCATGCTCCACATGGGTAAGTGATTGCTGGTCTGATAACCATCTTGTATAGCCGAACTTTGTTAACCAAACTTGATTTTGAAGTTCTACATAGCAAAGGGTAGAGTTGCCGAAACGTAATTTGGAATTTAGGTTTTAACGCTTCAGTGTGATTCTGCCAGGTCATCCCCCTGTCAAGAGTGACACCGGGATACTTAGCAGAATTTCCCCATGGTATGTGAGCTACATTCACTGAAACCTCAGGCGGGGCGCCGCTACTTTTTTTAATAAAATAGATAGCCTGCGTTTTCGAGTAATTAATTTTGATTAGCCACCGATCTGCTCATTCCAATACCTCATCCACCGCACTTTGTAACCTGCCGTGAACCAGATTCCCGGTACGCGACTGGGCCACCAGTGGAGTGTCATCAGCTTATAGATAGACTTCACAGTCGCTAGGACAAGGGACATCATGCGTGAAAAGTGAGTAAAGGATTGGCCCTAGAACCGAACCCTGAGGGACGCCGACTCTGATGGGCAGTACTGTCGACAAGAAATTATTAATTTTGATCCGAAATTTCCAACCGTCAAGGAAGGATTTCAAAAGTTTTAGGAGCCAAAATGGAAAGCCCTTTTGAATTAGTTTATAGAGAAGACCCTTGTTCCACACCTTGTCAAATGCCTTCGAGACATCCAGAAGCAAGATGCCAGTACTTTCGTTAAGGGTGAAGCCCCTGGTTACTCGCTCCACAAGCCTAACCGCCTGTAACTCCGTACTATGCTCAGACCGAAATCCAAATTGCACCTCAGGAATCACGTGGTGATCTGACGAGAAATTCGCAAGGTGACGTAGAATCACCTTTTCAACGAGCTTAGACGGAGCAGACAGTAGGCTGATGGGACGATACTCCTGGGGAAATATCGAACCCACCTTCTTCGGAATCATTATAACTTCCGCAGTCTTCCACGCGGATTTAAAGCACTTGGTCCTTAGCATGGCATTGATAATAGCCACGAGATAAGTCAAGGACTTCTGTGAAAGCAGCGTCAGCGCCTTATTAGTGATTTGATCCTCCACAGGTGCTTTACGCACCTTGAGGTCTTTAATATGACCTTGAAGCTCTGCTGGTGTGCAATGCGGGATCTCGGGAGAACCGCGCTGATGTGTAGTGCAACTCTTCAGCTGAAGAATCTTCCGAAAAAGAATCTTCTGAGGAAGAATCACTAATGGCGGCGCCGGGATCACTTACGCCGTTGGCCCTAAAATATCTCGTGACGGACCTTACAATTTGTTGCTCCTCGTCGAGATCATTATCAAGATCATAGTTGGGAGAGAACTGTCATTCCATAGCATCAGCGAAAACCTCGACCTTGTCCTCTGTCCTGAAGACTATGCCCCCAGGACCATGGATGTGCGGGAGGTATTCCCGCTTTCCGTTTCTGAGCTCTTCGCCACTTTCCAGAGAGGAGTACTTGAGTCAAGCATCCCCGCCAGAAAGTCGTTCCATTACTCATTGCAGAATTCATGGACAGCATTTCTTACTCCAGAAAGTTTCTGACGACTTGATGTCTGCAGGGAGAAGAGGTCTGCCGTGTTGTTGTACAGGAAGTACAGCTGCTCGCTGCAGAGCTTGCTGAACGAAGATTGTTCACTCCGCTTGAGACGCATCTACCTGTATACCGTTCTGATAATCTATGATCGGGATATTGGGAAACTCTATAAGAAACAACTTGTATAGTTCCCAATCAACCCGTTTCCTTGGAGAAGTTCCCTCTTCCAAGGTTTGCTCATTACCCACTTCCAGTACTACAGGAAGATGATCGCTAGAAATGTCATACATGATTCGAGAAGTGTTACTGTATCTACAGTTTCTAGATATTGCAAAGTCGATGACATCTGATGCCTGAAGGTGATTAAATGCTCTGTGTTTGCAGTTGAAGTCCCCTGCTAGAATAAGCGGACCAGGGTAGACCATAAGAACTTCCAGATCCGCCTCCTGCAGCCTGGCACCACACCTGACATACACCGATGTGATCTTCAACGGGACACCTCCCGTCATATTGACCTAGACGGAAGCTGCCTCAATGCTCTGCATTTCGATATTTGTGCTTCTATGGTAGTCAATACCACGTTTCATTAGGACTGCCAAGCCGCCACCCAGTCCAGTTTAATCTATCAGCTCGGATAACATCATAATTCGGGAAAGCTAGAAGTTCTCCCGGATTAAGCAATGTTTCCTGCAACAGCGCCACATCTATACTCTCATCCAAAAGTACTTGATGAAATTCCTGTTTTTTGGGAATATCCCTAAGACCCAAACAATTCCAGAAAAGAATTTTGATGAATGCAGGCTGTCTACTATTGTACCTAGCCATTTATCGGAAAGATCGCCTGCAAGGCCTGTGTAGCGCTTATCAGGGGACTAATTATCTGCAGCAAGGACCTGAGCGCTGTTGCCAGGTCCACGTTTTGAGCAGTCGAATGTGATCTCGGGACAGCGGGGGAAGCTAGAATTTCAACCTTTGCTGCGTCTGCATATGATTTTACTCGCCTTTGTGCTATTCTCCTAGGAGTGAATCTACAGGTAGAACTGTTGGCCGGATGGTCCCCTCCACAGTTTGCACATTTGCGCGCCTCTTGTCCTGTTTTTGAGGGCACAGATGTGTCTTGTGGTCTTGAGCACATTTGAGACACTTAGGAGGTGCAGTGCAATACGATTGCGCGTGTCCATAGCTCTGACAGCGGTGACACTACCCAATGAGTCGAGAGTACTTTTGAACCTCAACTCTGATAGAGAGCCCCAGCAGTCCATGTTCGTGGAACACTTGCTGTGACTTCTCAGTCTTAGGCAGGATCACCACCACCAAAGGCATGGGCACGCCGCCTTGCGCTTCAAGCGAAGTACGTGGAGGGGAGTATATCCCTTCTGTTCGAGCTCCTCTTTGATTTCCTGCTCAGCAGTTGACGCTGGGATTCCTCTAATAGCGTGAATGTTACGCTCAGAAGGCAGGGGAAATGTATGGTGTGGAACATTTTCCTCTATGAAAAGACAAATTATATTCCGATAACCGTCTTCGCTTTTAGGTACGACGTACGATGCGTATTCCAACATCAACAGCTACTGCTCGATCAATCTTAATACAAAGACTGATAAAAGAATAGTTGACAGTGGCCACTATGCCGCATCCCGCAGCACAACAGGTGTAACCGTGTAACACGCTCCTGTCGGGGTGGTTGTGCCTGTGTGCCGAGGGTAGCGTTAGATGACGGAGATGTAGTGTTGTTTCCAGCCAAGGAAGCAGCTTGTGACACTGGAATAGAGTTGCGACTTTCGTTTAAACTAGGTGCTTGCATTTGAGAGTGCTTTGGCTGGCTTGCAGAATCAGCAGAAGAAACAGACACAGGCAGTGTTATGTCCATTGAATTGGTATTGATTGGGGATTTCTTAGTCGGAAGGGAAGGATATTCGTTAATTTTACGAATCTTTCTTTTGTTACGTCTCTGGGCAGCGGTAAAATCACTACCCTGTACGTCGTCTTCTGTCTCTGTAGGTGAGGTAGGGCTGTTGTGTCTTCTCTTGGGAATTTTAATAGAACTTTCATCACGGGACATGCATTTATTTAAATAAGTACTAAAGTTAAAAACCTGGCAATTGAGATTGTACACGCAGTCCGTCAGTCTCTTGATTTGAGCTGCCTGGTCAGCGATGATTTGGTACAGCCTCTCCTTTACGGTGTCTTTTTCAATATCTGTAACTGTCAAAGCCTCACTAGGGTTCGTATTCTCCAGTCTCTCAAGTACGCCGCTTGTTACTTCTTCTCCACTCGCTGTGATGGAAGGGTCGCCTGGTGACCCCTCGAACGTGCGTTCCATCTTATATTCGCCTTTTCTCTCAGAAAATTCTCAAAATTTTTAAGGAGCAAAAATCTGACAACTTGTCTTTTTCCTGTCTAGAGGACGATAATTGAGCGTATTATCACAAACAAAATTTTGAATGTCTTTCATTATTGTTGGTTAACAATTTACACATCTAAGATATGTTTTCGAAAATTATCTGCTATGATCCGACATATTGTTTCTGAAGTTTCATCAAAGTAATATAGAAATAATTATAAAAAATCATACCTATACCGCTGGTTTCCTGTTTGCAAGCTTAAATTATCTATGGCGTGCGAAAAACTGTTTAATCGCAATAAAAGTACACGTAAAATTGAAAAAAAAATAATAGCAAAAAAACGGAGCTTTGTGGATTTGAACCTACTCCTCCTCTTTCCCATTACGCTACGACGCCTCTTGGTTTACTGGATCTTTATACCACTATACTTGACACTGAACGTTGGAGACATCAAATCTATTAAAAACAATTAGAATAGTCTTGAAAACTATACAAGACACAATGCTGAAACTTTAAATAATGTATTAGGGACTAATACCGAGCATTTTATCTAATTTTGAAGACGGTCAGTTCGCTACAATTTATTTTTATTTGTCTGCTGTTTTTCGTTTTATCGAGTTTATTTTCCAATATTTTGAACTCGCAGTTGATTTAATCGAACGAGTCTTCGAAAACAGACGTATACTGTATTAATACTTTTGGAAAATAGGTCCAGGGAATTGTATTTCTTCGTAAAGAAACTAGATTACGTGACCTACTCATTTGACAAAGTCAGGCAGTGATCAATAATGCACATGTTACATACTAACTAGTCTAAGACAGTTTGAAACATAATTGTGTCTTCAGTTTGCGTGCTAGCTTTATGAACAGTTCAGCGCATTTCAGTATGAAATATTTTTTCTATAAACTTTAGGGCTTATCTGTGACTGTGTAAAAATGTCAGCTCTAAACATGTATATGTTACCCTCAACCTGTATAATCCGGTATTCTATACATTACCTAGATAATGTATAGAATACCTAAAACGTGTAGGAAATGTATGAAATATTATTTGTTTTATACTTTGCCTAGGTATTCTATACAATACCGAATGCTCAGCCGGTAATGTACTATATGTAAAAGACGAGAGCAAGGAACGGGTTTTGCTCAGCTTCCAGCAATATCAGCTGCAAAACAGCTACAAAACAAAACTGGAGAAGTGTGAATGGTGGTTCTCTGCAATGCCTTCCCACGCTGAAGGTCAAAATTCCATAAAAAATGGACGGGGTAGCACCCAAACCAAAACAACTAAACGTAAGGTACCAAATAAAAAGGGTACACTCCATAAAGTGGTGTTTGGGGGTTCTAATATCCCAGAATCTGGATGTTAACGAAACGACGCTCACGCCACAATCTGCGCAGGAAAGTTAAAAAAAAAATAGTGCATTTTATTAAAGTTGATTTTATATAACTTGTTTCATTTGCCCGTCATTTTATTTATTGAAGTATGCCGGTTAACCTTGATAAATTTAAACCGCAGATACTTTATACGAACAATAGGAATTGTATTCATTACCTAGGTAAAGTATGTAATGGATAATAATATTCATAATATTTCATACAATGCCTGAGTTACCCAGGTATTCTATACATTGCCTAGGTATTGTATAGAATACCTGAATTGTACAGATTACCGGTAACATATATGCAAGAGTATGAAGAAATTTTGAAAAAAAAATGTTCTCTTCGCAACAAAGGGTGATGGACACATCCGCTTTATTTTAAAATGTGTATAATAACGTATGTTTTTCGAATATCGTAGCGAATCTATTCAGTTAATCACAAATACGAAATGTTTGAATTTGCTTAGAATAAACAAACGTAACCCTTCGTCTTTCGCCTAAAAACAACAATTATCTTTCGGAATGGTTTATTATTAATGTCGGCATGGTAATCTCGTATATTTTGCTATAAAATACCCTTTGAGCGAACCCTGTATATTGCTCAGTAAAGTACTAGTGATGGCCGGAAGACAGGAGTTTTGGGATAAACAATTAGAAATTTCAAGAAGAATTTCAAGTAGCTGCGTGAAATTATTGTAGCATTAGCAGCAAGTGCCAAAACCTGCATTTTGCCTCAGTTTTCGGCCGTAACTTTTTTAATATTAGTCGGATCTGCTTACGTGTGGTGTCATTCCGTATGTCTCATAAATACCTAAAAATCTTATCCGAAGAGTTTTTTAGTTCCTGCCACCACTTTCGACTGAATTCCAAAAAACACGTTTTCTCATTCTTTGTTGTCGAATAAAAAATTGGTCTACCCATTTTATGCATCTATGTTTTAAATATCCCCTTGAACAACTTCCATCAATAAAACCAGACTTTACAATTGACGTTTTTTTTTTTTTCGAAAACAGTCAGACATGTCAGATATTCAATAATTCAGGGTATTAAGCCGGTATCGCTAACGTTATACTTGTTTTGTTCCCTGAAAATAAATATACTTGTATTTTGCTGATTTGGAGATATAATTTGGATATTGTATCAACTCCATTTTTTTTGTAAATCAGGATGAAATGTCTGACATTGGCTGTCTTTGTTGAAAATTAAAAATAAAAGGAACAAAAATTTCAATTGACTCGTTATTTAAATTTACAAATAAATTTAAAAACTTGTCAAAAGATAAATATACATATTTTATAAAATATTAACCACACTTGTCACTGTTATCGTCCATCACGTTATATCTCTTTTTTTATTATTGATTAGCTTTTACACCAATAAAAAAAGCAGGAATGAATGGTAAACAATGTCATTAAATAAACAGATGTGCACTAGACTGAATGATATGGTTGTTTTTGCCAAACTAGGGTTATCTTACAGTCGCATTCTGAAGTAGACTGTGGGATTTCTTGCTCTAATAGTTGGTCAGGATCCGACAACGTTATTTTTACATACATAACACTGGTTGTTTTTGCACAAAACTCTTCAGTTATTCCGCAAACCAGCAGTATTTTCGTCCAATATAATTAGACTTAACATACTTGGATGAAGTACTCTTATTGCTCCGAGGCAAAAACTTTCCGAAAGATTATTCTGCACAGTCCCTGTGGGAATGCATTTTTAAAAAGAATTAGGATTATATAAGGGGTTCGACTAATGAGCTGGATGTCAAAGTTAGTGCTTTTTTTAATAGATATACCAATACAAGTTTTATTACATATTTGGATAGACTTACAAACCTACATACTTTTGTTAAGTAGTTGTGTAGGTAATAATTACATGATCAAACGAACTTAGCTGTAAGTGATGTTCGATCTTAATTATGTGAAGTCCTGGTCGAACTAAATTTTAGAATACATATCGAGGTACCCTCGTAGTAGTACCCAACGCCACGATTTCAAAGTGCGCACGCAGAGAAGGAAAGCAGCACCGCGCCCCTACCTTTCTCCCCTCTGGCCACCTATAAACCTTCATTCCGTCAACACGTTAATCGGCGCGCGTCATTTACGTGCAGTGCAGTGTCGAGGATCCGCTGAAGATTGAGAATTAGAAAACAGCGCAGAAGGTTGACCGATAGATGCGCATTGTCGAACGAGATACCGACCGAAGGTCGCCTGAAGGTTCCTTTCGTCGCAGACCAAAATTAGAAAGTGGCGTGCAGGCCTCTTTTTCTGAAGGGGCGTCACCATTAGGTAACTGTCAACTAACCGATCTGTTTTAGGTGCAAGTTAAATGAATATTAGTATGGATGCCTCACCGGAGCTGCAAATTGTGCCTAACATGACGTTTGGCATAACGTTCTGACATTGTTATATAGGGGAGAGCAACCTGGACCTAGCTTGTGATAGCCAACTCCACACCTAGGACGAACAAAGACGTTTGGGATAACGCTGAAACATTGGAATCGGTTGCTTGGGATAGCAACGTGGACCTGGCTTGCGATAGTCAGCTCCACACCAAGGATGAACGAAGACATTTGGGATAACGTTGTAACATTGGACTCGGTTGCTTGGGACTATTACAAGCTCGGTTCATGTTGCTATGAACCTAGCTTGTAATAGTCCACACCAAGGACGCATGAAGATGTTTGGAAAAATGAGTCAATACTGAACTTCGTTGCACAAATGAACACTGAAAGCGTTTGGGACAACGTAGCAGCAAGGTATGGTCATCAATCTTTTCTCATTTGCTTGTGATGGCAAATTTCATCTGGTTTGTGATAACCATGGAACGGGA